GGCTAGCTTTGAAGATCTTACCTAGCTGGGCAACGAAACATCTGCAAGTAAATCACCAAGCTCAGAGAACACCAAGGACAGTTCAACCCTGAGCTACACGTATTCTCTTCTGTTAGAAGCTTAGACCATCTGCTTCCTTGGTCCACACGGTTTCCAGTTTGGGTTTGGGCATCACTGGGGCATCACTCCCGCCACAGCGGGATCAGGATCTCAGATATATATCCAGGTGAGAATCAAGGCTCTTTTTTTGCTTATCCTTCCCCAAATCTGGCTAAGGCTCTTGTGGAGGAAGAGACATGGTCAACCTTTAGATCCAGTACAGGTGGGGTCTCCTGTAAGCTCAGCCAAGGTTGACCAAGTTCTACCTCCCATTTGGGGAGGAAATGTCATGCCTTCTAAGGGTCAAGCACAGTTCTTGGTATCTTCATGACTGCATCTAAGTCATTTCTAGGTAATGGTCAGAAGTCGTTTGCTATTCCATTCTTCTGGAGTGTTTGTACCCCTTCCCTGTAGAGTTTAGGGTTCAGTCCCCCATCCAAGTGCTAACCGGGCCTGACCCTGCTTAGCCTTCTGGAGATGAGCGAGGGACTGCCACCAGCTGAGGCATTATTCATAGCTGGTCCCTAAACCCTGATCTCACGTTGCTGCTTGTTGCTATGTATGAAGAATAATTTCTGATTTATTGTAAATTACAGTGACTGTTGCAACCTACTGTATCTTCCAGAAGTGTTGGATGACTCCATGGTTGGGAATTACAGGAACTGTTATCCAATATATTTGGAAAGCAGCAGGTTGAAAAAGCCTGGATTCGATGATGGATAGCTTGGGATGAAACATCAAACACTTAGGCTTACAGGACAAAATAGATTTGCTGTTTCGGTTACACTGAAATCAAAAACGTGGAAAAGAAGGTCACGCTGAGCTCAGCTCAGCTCCTGGTGACTTACATGGGCCCATCCCTGTCGTTTTCTTGGCAACAGCACAGAAGTGGCATATCCTCGCCTTCCTTCAACTGGTTTCTCTCCTTCCCAGTCTAACTGGCATCCTTAGATTTCCTTGTGGTCTCCCATCAAAAGTCCAACCGCTTAGTTCTTCTCGATCAGCCAGGTGCAGCGAGCCAGCAGAGAGAACACCCTCGGGTCAAATATTCTGGGATCTCTGGAGCTAGTCGTAGAAAAATAGCCCAGGTGTGACCTTGCTAGCAACTGGCTGAGCTGTTGAAGTGCTGTGGGATATTACTAACTTTCTAGCAAATTAAGGAACCTGCCTCATCAGGAGAGGAGACGAAGTGGGGAGAGGCAGAGGCAGAGGCAGGGATGATGAAGAGGGTCAGCTTTTGCTCTGGCTGGAGTAGGTGATGGGATGTAGGACCTTGATGGATCCAGGGAAATATATGGAGCGAGCAGATTCCGCAGGCAGAAGCAGGAATTAGGGAGACTCGAAGGAAGCTCCTGAAATAGACTCCAGAAATTGTATGAGTTGGCACAGTCACCTTAGTCCTAACTGGATGGAACGGGTCCTCAGCCACAGAGAAGGGAGAAGGTCTGCTCGGATGCAGAAGTTAGGAATCTCCCAGAAGAGCAACGTGCGCCTGACGTTATGTGCCCTTGCTTGGTCATGATTCATAATTAATTATATGAATATTAGTTCAAGGAAAAGGTTTACTGGAAGCACATATATTCTGGTCTTCTTTTGGACCACACGCCTTTTCCTTTTCGGGAGAAGTGCCCCGCGATCATCATTTATTTTTAATGTTAAACCTCTCCAGCTTCTCAGTTGTTTCACTTGGGGTATTCTCCAAGAGATGAATAAGGAAAGGGACCATCAAAAGCAGGGGTGTCTGTGTGTCAAAAAAGTCAAGACGGCAGCTGCATGATCAAAGCCCATCCTTTTTTTTTTTTTGGAAAGTGTCCTTCTGTGGAAGGGATCGCTTGCAAAGTGTCGAAGCTAAAGACTAGGATTTGGATTTGGGGAGGATCAGTTGGCGTTTCCAGCCTTCCTCTCTCTCTCTTTCTCTCTCTTTCCCTCTGACTGTCCCAACCTTGTGAATTGCAGGGGGAAAGCCAGGTCAGCAGGGGTAAGTTGCTCCAAGCCTTAAGGTTTTAAAGTCTCTTTAAGATGAATGAGTTCAAAGCGTCTCAGAGGCTCTTAAGAGGCTTAACTACTTCGTTCTTGTCCTGCTAGGCACAGCTCTTGACTTGTGGCTCTCCCCAACCCTCTTTCTCTGCCCCCAGATGGCTCTCGGAACATCTCTTCCTCCTCTACTCCAGGCGGAGAAGCCCAGATTTCCCCGGCAGTGACGCCTGACTCTCCCTCCAACCTCCCGGTGGACCCCCCCCTTTGCGGCAAAGGCGCGCCGGTCTTTCTGCCGGTGAAAAAGGAAGACCGTCCGCAGCCCGAGGGGGCCAGTTGTGACATGGCCGCTGGCAACGCCACGGCTGGCTCGGTGGCGCTGAGCGAATGTGGCCAGGTCATGATGGAGCAGGCTCCGAAGGCTGGCACGTCGAGGCCCCAAAGTCTTGGGGAGTCTCCGGGGACAGACATTCTGGATACCCGGATAGTGATGGGGGAGGAGACCCGCTGCCTCGGAGGGGCAGACGATGCCGCAGGGGCGGCTGCACAGGACAGCCCCGGGCCGCCCGAGCCCGGTGTCTCGGAGGCCGGCTCCAGCGAGGAGACGAGCGACACGGAAGATCAAGCCTT